CTAAATGTGAGCCTAGGGTTTCCCCAGGCCCAGTGGGGTGGCAAAAGGAGGTAGAGAAGAGGCAGGATGATAATAATTACAAACGTCTTCATAATAATGACACTTGGTCACCTCGGCTGAGAACTCTGTTCTTTTCCAGAGTGCTTCATCTCTTTCCCTCATTAAGGTTCTCCCACACCCAGGGAGGCAGGAATGATAAAGTGTTATCTCCATTTTACAGAAGGGGAACTGAGGCACGATCAGATTGAGAAGTTTTTCCACAGCCACACAAAGCCAAGGACAGGGCTGGAATGAGAAATTATGTCTGTAATCCCTGAGCTCCACTCCATACAGCACCACCCACTCGAAGAACCAGCTGGAGCTCCTCCTGGGGGCTCTAGAACTTGAGTCTGGAGCCTCAGTTGCACCTCACAGATAGCAAGGATTAACAGATAAGAAAAGAAAGAATTCTGGCCTGGGATCCAGGACATAGATTGCAATTCTGGTTTCATGACAAACCAAGTCAGAACGACGCAGAGATGAGAAGTAGGCAAGGCCCCTCCCTCTTGATGCTGGTGTCCAGGGGTTTCCTACCCAGGGAGGCACAGCCTCAGGTGGCTCCTGATGATACAGAGAGAAGGGAAAGGAGCGAACTTCTATTAGGCACCCACAACACACTGGCTTCAGCAGCCACCTAGATCCATCATCTCTAATCCTCATAGCATCTCAGAGCTCAGAATGGGCACCCCTTAATGTTACAGGTGAGGAAACATATCAGACAGGGTAAAAAATCTGACTGAAGGCATAGAATAAGGAAGTGGTGGGACTTGAAACCAGGACTTTAAGATGCCAAAGCCCACCCAGTCTCCATGAATGTGAGGGGCATCTCCTCTCAAGAGTGTCTGATTTCTCATGCTGACCTCAGCTGGGAAGAGCTCTAATGACTTGGTGGCTGCATCATCCTACCTGCTTCCTTCTGGGTGTCAGTCTCAGAACAGGCTCAGTTAGTCCAGGAGGGCAGCATGCTGGCTAGACAGACCTGAGTTTGAATCTTTCCCTACTGCTTACTAATGATGTGTCCTTGGGGAAGTCATTGAGCTCCTCTGTGACTCAATTTCCTCATCAGTTCAGTGAGGGGTTGGGTCTAGGGCACCAGTTTTTAGACCTAGAGGCACTTTAGATTCACTCTGGAGATTGTAAAAATACCTTTGCCTGGGCTTCTCCCCAAGAGTCCTATTTAATTGGTCAGGGATGGGGCTCAGCATCAATGTTATTTAAAGCTCCCAAGAGATTCTAATGTGCTGCCAAGTTGAGAAGAGCTGGTTTCTGTGCTCTCCAAGGACAAGCCTTTCCATATCTAACATTCCACATGGATCCATGGGCCCTGAGATCCTGTTTAGCCAAGAATCAGTTGGGCAACCCTTCGTATTCCAGCCTGGACCTACGCCCCAACCACCACTTAGCAGAAGGGCTGGGCAGCAGCAGCACAGACAGCGGTCTGCTCCTGTCAACCAGTCCCAGCTCTACTTCTGGAAGTCTGGGCTTGAACCAGCTGTAGGGGAGGGAGAATCTAAACCCAGCTCCTGTCCTTCCCTTTCTCTGCACCCCTTCTCCTGTGTCTGAGTCCTCCCTCTCTCACAGACACACACCTATCTACTTCTACTCCAAGCAGCCCCTCCTTCTACCTCTAAGGCCAGATAAATGTGGGCTTTGACATCAGATCCACGTGGGTTTCAAACCTGCCTCTGAACCAGGTGAACTCGTCAAGGTACTGTCCTTGGTGCTGAGCACAGAAATCTGAGTTCTCACAATGATCCACCAGTTTGGTCGTATTCTTACCCCTGTTTCGCTAATGAGGAAATGGAAGCACAAAGAGGTTCATTACTTAACTTCACTCAGCCTCCGTTTCCTCCTCTTTAAAGTGAAAATATTAATAGAGCCTATCTGAAGGCCTTATTTGGGAAATTCTATCATATACAAAAAGGGCTTATATCATAGTCTCTAGCACAAACTTGTTATTTAATAAATGGAAGCAATCTTTATGAGTTATTGAATAATGATATATAATTCACAATGGATTTCAATGATTAATTCATGTTTGCACCCTTCACTGTGCATAGCAGCCCCCTCAGCTGTAAAATGGGAATGGTGCAGGGCTGTGCTGGAGTCAGCTTGTACCAGCTTACAAGAGCCACACGTTAATTTTTCAGGAGTTTTGTGATATCATGCTGGTAGCTTGAAATTGGGCCATGGTGGGAATATTTACACCATGGAAATCAGCAAACATTAAAAGCAGGGCACTCCTCCCCACCCCTTCACCCCTCAGAGCTGACTCACCAACAAACTACTGCATCTACATCACAGGGCTGGTGTGAAGTCTGCAGAAGAGAATGGACATGATGGTGCATTGTAAAATATAAATAAACTGCTGAACCTGTGGGACAACCCTGAGGTGGTCCCATAGTAGCTATAAGCCTGGCACCTTTTTTTCGGCCAATTCTGGTGAGCTGCTGACTTGTAAAGAAGGTGGGAGGGGGTGTGTGGCCCAAGGAAGTCATTCCCCTGGGGTCTGGGAAACCAGTGGTGAATCACTGACCCTTTACCATTCCCACGTGTCAACATTAACTGTAATGGCTGCAATAAAGAATCCTGGATTGGGGAAATGATTCCGTCATCCCCTCGGGAGTCCCTGGGATGCAGCCAGGGAGAGAGAGAGAGCTCAGTCATGTCTCTGGGGAGTCACTCAGCCCTGCATTGTGCTTTGCCCAGGGAGTGGAGGGGACATGCATGGGGAGTGACAGGGAGACCCTCTCTCATAACAATTACAACAGCCACTAGTTATTGTGCACCCACCATGAGCCTGATGCTTTATGTATCATCTCCCATTTCAGTACCTCTGTGAGGGAAGCATAATTTTGCCATTGTATACTGGCGTGCCGTGCCTCCTGAGATGACAACAACCTGCACTTACTGGGCTCTTGGCATGGGCCAGGCACTGTCCTCAGTGCTGGATGTGGAAATTGAATTCTCAAAATGATCTCAGGAGATTTGTAATACTACCACCCTCATTTCGTAAAACGAGGAGATTGAAGCACAAAGGGGTTCGTGACAGATCCAAGGTCAAACTTCTAAAAAGTGGCAGTGTCTTCACTGATTGTGACTCAGTTCACCAGGCCACTGTCCCCAAAATCACTGTGCTTGTGCTGACACTGCTTCCCAGAAGGGACTTGGCATTCCAGAGTCCTGAGTTCAAATCCCACCACTTCTTCACTCTGTGCCGTCAGTCAAATCTTTTCCTCTGTCTGACCTGAGTCCTCACCTGTAATATTAGGTGGGGGGGTCCACTTTGCATTTCTGAGATGCTATGAGGATTAGAGGTGATGGATTTAAGTGGCTGGTGAAGCCAGTGTGTCGTGAGTGCTTAGTAGGACATCATTCCTTTTCCTTCTCTCTGTACCAGCAGGAGGCATGTGGGGCTGTGTCCTCCCTAAGTAGGAGACCCCTGGGTGCCAGCATCAGGAGGGAAGAGGCTTGCTCACCCCTCTTCCCCAGCTTCTCTGGGCAACTCTGATGGTTGACATGGAGCTGGAGTGGCCAAAGAGAGAGGCGCATTGCAGGGATGGTTTAGGAGACTGTGGCTGGGAGGGGGAACCTGGAGAGGGAAATGAGAAATGCAAAAGAGTGAAAAATAAATACATGTGTCTGTCTGGAATGATCGAGGGCCCCAGGCTGGAGGTGGGAGAGGCGGGCGGCAGGCTGGGCTTAGCAGAATTGCTGCAGTAGCACTTCCAGCCTCTCACTCATTAGCCAGGCAGTGAACTGGCCTCACCTCCCAGCATGCTGCCCTGCTGGCTCAGGGAGCCCAACCCAGCCCCAGAAGGGACCTGCCTGGCCCCACCAGTAGCCACCCAGCAGAAGGCATCTCCCTGAGGTGGGGTCTCTGTCTCCTCCCATTTGGATCATATCCTGAACCCCCAAGACTCACTCTTGAGTCTTCCACCTTACCCTCTTCTTTCTGGAAAGGTTTGGATGGACTCGATGGCTTTGCTGGCCCCTCCACCTGACCCTCCCCCACCCTTGTCCCCACCCCCACCCGGTCTAGCCTCACGTCCCAAGCCCTGCTTTCGTCAAATTGAACATGATGTCAAATTAGAGCCATCTCTGGGACAGACCAAAAGAAGCTCCCAGTTTAATGAGGCAGCGTCAAAAATCAATAACTTAATTGCCGCTGTTTGATGGACTTTTATCCAATTTATACTCTCCCCAGCAGCCTACGTGCAGAGCATGAGAAGTGTGGGGGTGGGAGCGGTCTGGGCACCCAGGGGGAGGGGTGAGGAGGGCACCAGGGCCCACAGCCAATGACTTTCCAAAGGGAAGGCTGGGTGCTGCCTTCTCCTGCCAGGGCTGAAGAGACACTGGCCTCTAACCCCCAATGAATCGGGCTGTCCCTCTGGGCTATCCCCTGCCACCATGGTCAGGGGAGAGGAGGCAGACTCCCTTGAAGAATCAGTAGGAGCTGGAGTGGGTAGAATGGCACCTGGGTCGGGGGTCAGGCCCTGGTTTCCAGTCCTGGCTCCGCTGACTCTGATGACTGTAACTGGCAATAATGGTTGTTGCCGTCATTGAGAAACTGCTCTGAGCTGCTCTGTGCCGGGAGTTTAGAATTCATCCCCTCAACATAGTGAACCAAGCACTAGGATTTGCCCCACTTTGCTGAAGAGGAAACTGAGACTCAGATAGGCTGCTTTTTGTGGCCAGAGTCCTACAGCTGGGAACCACCCCAAGGAGACTTGAATCCATAACTGACTCCATAGTCTCACTTGCACCACTAGAAAGGTCTCAAAACAGGAAGAGGGTTGGGACTCAGAGTGGGGATGGGGACCATGAGGGGCTATCTTTGATGACCTCCCGTGGGTCTCCCGAGAGCCTCTTCTCCCAGCTTTCCTGGGGTAAGGTGAACTGGGGAAACAAGCTCGGCAGCCCCAGATGACTCCTGTCTCGCTTGGTCCCCCCGGGCCCAGGCACGTCGGTGATGCAGGTGATGGCCTCGGATGCGGATGATCCCACGTATGGCAGCAGTGCTCGGCTGGTGTACAGCGTGCTGGACGGCGAGCATCACTTCACTGTGGACCCCAAGACCGGTGAGGGGCGAGGCGGAGCCAGAGGCGGATCCGTGGGGTAGGGCCCACCCCAGATGTCTGCTCTCAGCTGTCTGACCCAGCAGCTCTGAGGGTAGCACAGGGGGCACTTCGTGCACATCAGGAGAGTCCCCAGCTGCGGAGAGGAGGGGCAGCCAGGCAGGAAAAGGAAGGACTGAGGAGCAGAAAAGGAATGGGGTGGGGAGGGGGTTCTTCCGAAACTGGCAGAGAAACAGGCAGGAGGCAGCCACTGTGAGTGCCCTAAAAGGACCTCGAAGGTCCGAACTAAGCGGCTTGTCCTTGAAGTTGAAGCAGGCGTGTAAGCTGTTCCGGGGTCACAAGTGTAGTTTTGGGGAGGGAGGATGGCTGGTTTTAGCAGTTTTGAGATCTCTGCCCACTTGGCAGTTGTTAAGGATCTGACGGAAAACTACAGGCATCTTTGAGGAAGGGTGTGGAAGACACAGAGACCTTTAGGCTTCTTTCTTACTTATCCCCCGACCACCACCAAACGATGGTGCAGCACACCCACCCGCTGTCCTCTACTTCACTCGCTGTGACATTAGCACCTGCCTCCTCTCTGAGAAGCCTTGGGGAGTGCTGGGAGAAGAGAATGAGCAGACTGAAGCCCAGAGAGGTAAAGTGACTCACTGGAGGTCACACAGCTGAGAGTGGCTGGTGATTCCAGCAGGGTGCTCTCACTGCTCCTGGGATCGGAGGTGCCTGGCTTGGGTGAAGGCAGGAATGAGATGTCAGAAACCCAGAATGTTTATCAAATGCCATTGTGGGGCTCACAGCCCTATGGCGCAGGGGGACAGGCAGATAGGTGGAGATTAGATGCAAGGCTTCTTGGAGGCAGTAGCTACAATCTACAAACAATAAGAAAGAATCTGTGGGGTGCGGTGGCTCACCCCTGTGATCCCAGCACTTTGGGAGGTCAAGGAGGGAGGATCACTTGAGTACAGGAGGTTGAGACTAGCCAGAGTAACATAGACAGAGCCCATCTCTACGGAAAGAAAAAATTAGCTAGGCATAGTGACAGTGCCTGTAGTCCCAGCTACTCAGGAGGCTGAGGTGAGAGGATTGCCTGAGCCCAGGAAGTTGAGGCTGCAGCGAGTTATGACAGCACTATCACACTCCAGCCTGAGGAACAGAGCAAGATCCTGTCTCAAAAAATAAAAAATAAAAAGAAGAAGGTGTTGCCAAACCAAGATTTCAAAGAAGGGCATTTCAGGTAGAGGGCATGGCTCAAGCAAAATTTGGGAGAAGTGGAACAGCCTGGGGCGTGAGAGGAATTATAAGCAGCTCAGGCTTGAGCAGTCACGTCAAGAGGGTGGCAGGGGGTGCTGGGTGAGCCAGGCTAAGGAGCTTGGATTTCATTCTAAGGGCAAAGCTGGGAAGTGGGGTTGGGGAGAGTTGATGGATTTGGGTTTGGGGTTTTTGTGTGTTCCTGTTGTCTGGGGGAGAAGGGAGAGGATTCCGATCCATGAGCACAGTTATAATTGTATTCTCTTACACAAAGTATCTTCATTATTTCTTTCTCCTCACAAAAGTAATACATTTTAGAAAATGTTCAAACATTAAGGAAATGCTAAAAAGAAAAAAAAAGAAAGAAAGTGATTCCCACTCTCCATCCTCAGTAATTGCCGCCCCAAAGGTAGCCGCTTGGTATATGTATCCTATGAGATCTTAGACTCATTCACTTGAAAATATTAAGTCATCTTTAATAGATAATACATCTCAAGGTTCAAAATTCAAAAAGTCCAAACAGGCATTTAGTGGCAATTCTTCACCCCATCCAGTCCCCCAGCCGCCCAGTCTGTATCCCCAAGGCAACCAGTGTAATTTTCTCGTGCATCTTCCAGAGCTATTCTGTACATGTACAAGAAAATAAGGTACATGTATTTGTTTTTTTACATGAATGGTAGCTATAAACATACTATACACCCGGCTTGCCTTTTTCACTTGACAATACATCTTGAAGATTATTCCATATCAGTACAAAAAGAGCTTCCTCATTCTTTTATTTAATGGGTGTTATGGATACCTAAAATTTATTTCACCAGTCCCCTACCAATGGACACTTATGCTGTTTCCAATCTTTTGCTGCAACGAACAATGCTACAGTGAATAACCTCATACATACATCATTTTGTGCTTGTATGAGTATATCTGCAGGATAATTTTCAGGAAGTGGAGAAGCGGGGTCAAAGAGCACACGTGTTCAGAATCTCGGTAGATAATGTCAAAACACACCAGATGACACTCCCGTGAGCCACGTGTGAGAGTGCCCATTTCCCCTCCTCCTCACTGACACTGCGGGTTCGTTGATGACTTCTACACAGGAAGTGACATGCTCTGGTTTTCATTTTAACAAGATCCCTTGGGCTGCTGCTACAGAGCTTGGCTCCAAGGAAGGAATTGGAGGCAGGGAGGCCCTAGAGCCTGGGGTCCCCAGGGTAGAGTCCCAAAGGGCAAAAGCCAAAAGCCTGGGCCCTTTCTTGACTTCTGAACCTGCTGGTCTAGCTGGGAGGCCAGGGATGATGAAGAATTCGTGGTGAGGGTTGACTGAGATGCCAAGAGGAGAGAATAGGGGATGGCAGTGAGACCCTGCAAAGGATAAACCTTGGGGGCCAGCACAAATTTGCAGGACTAGGTTGAGGGAAGAGTCAGAGTTTCTTTCCATGTAGTGTAGAAAGGGTTTCTTCATCTAGGCAAGGGGTACCACCAACAGAAGCAGGAGTGTAAATTAAGAAAGCTACTAGAGCAGAGGAATTCGTGAATGTGCCTTGGAATCTGATGCAGAGCTAAATAATTCAGCTTTAACCATACTGGCTTTAAGATGAGAGAAAACATCTAGGGAAACACCAGGGAAAGAAACATCTAGAACTTCCAGCAGGCCATCTGAAATACAGGTGTGGAGCTCCAAGAATGGTTGGGGCTCTTACAGCCTCGGTTTCTCCAAGTGCATAGGGGAGAGAATCACAGCCACCTCATGTGATGGTTGTGATGATTCAGTGGGACAGTTCACTCATTCATTCAGCAACTATTTATTGATTGCCTATTATGTGCCTGGCTCTGTTCTAGGCACCAGGAATGCAGCAATAGATCAATCTAAGGGTCTGAGTTCATGGCACTTTTATCGAAGTAGAGAATATAGAAGATGAGCATGTACACACATAATGTCAAGCCGTGACAAGTGTAAGAACAAAACCTAATGCAGAGGAAGGACTTAGATTAAGACATCATGGCCGGGTGCAGTGGCTCACGTCTCTAATCTCAACACTTTGGGAGGCCGAGGCAGGCAGATGACTTGAGGTCAGGAGTTTGAGACCAGCCTGGCCAACATGGTGAAACTCCGTCTCTACTAAAATACAAAAATTAGCAGGGCATGGTGGCACACGCCTGTAATCTCAGCTACTCAGGATTGAGGCAGGAGAATCACTTGAACCAAGGAGGTGGAGGTTGCAGTGAGCCAAGATCGTGCCACTGCACTCCAGCCTGAGAGACAGAGCAAGACTCTGTCTCAAAAAAAGAAGAAAGAAAGAAGACAGAGAAAAGAAGAGAGAAGAGACGAAACGAGAGAAGAAAAGAGAAAAGAAATCATGACAGGCCTTTCTGGGGAAGTGACCTTGGGGCAGAGACCGAGTGCAGTGAAGGCATGAGCCATGCAGATTTCTGGGGACCACCACTGCAGGCCAAGGGAATAGCAAGTGTGTAAAGTACTCAGCCCCAGCCCTGGCACAGAAGGATGGTGATGGTGATGAAGAAGCCTTCGTACATTCCGCCTGAGGAGGTGGGTACCTTAGGGTTGATAAGACTTGGGAGACGGGGGGGAAGAAAGAACATAGAAATAAGAAAAGGGCCGGGACTGGGAGGTGGCAGAGCTGGGCAGGTGAAGGATCAGATGCCAAGACAGTGGGGAGGGCAGCCAGTTTCTAAGAAACAGCATCCCCCACTGCAGAGGGCCCAGAAGATGGTGACAAGCAGGAGGCCACAGGGCCTGGGGGAGCAGGAACAGTTCCCAAGAGGCCAGAAAGTGAGGAGCAGGCAAGGCAGGTGAAGGAGTTCAAAGGGGGGGTCCCTGCTCTAGGGTCCCTCAACTCTTCAGTCTGAAAGGGTTCTTTCTGGCACATCCCAGGAAGAACCAGGTTTTGCCTCCCCTTGCCCACAGGCCCATGGCAAGAGCTACCCTGGTGCCATTCCCAGCCCCAGCTCCATTTCCCCAGCTAGGAATATTCCGCTGATGCGGGTCTATATTTAGCAGCTGCTGCGAGGTACAGTCTGTTCTCGCTGTGCAGATAGCAGGGAGCAGAGCCGGAACGGGGCCTGGGAGGAAGGTGTGAGGGAAGGGAGGAGGCGGGGCCCTGCGAGGCCCCAATGCCAGAGGAGGAATTAACTTGTGTGTTTTAAAGGCCAGGCCTGCCAGCAGGCCCCCCGTGGGGGTAACAGGGATGGCATTTGCGGGCTAATGAGGCATCACAGGGGCTTCAGGGCCCCTTTTGCAGCATTTGGAGGGGACAGCAGTGGCAGCGGGGATAACAGCTACAACTGGGGACGACGGGTGAAGATAAGGCTGCGGGAGCCAAGGCCAGGTTATAATTACCAGCCCCCGCCCACCACCATCCCAGCAGAAATAGAAACATCCTCTGAGACTTCAAGATCTCTGCTGAAAATTCTTAACTGGGCCAGAGATGTCCATTTTACAGGGAGGAAATGAAACTAACATTTGTTGAGCACCTTCTAAGTGCCAGATCCTGGGGTCAGGATAATGAACTAGACCTGGTTTCTGCCCTCACAGAGCTTCTGCTCCAGCAGAGAAGCAAATGGATACCTACACCCAGGCTGTGAGAGGGGCAGTGGAAGGGCACTGGGAGTCAGCCAGTCAAAATGTTGTTTGGGCACTTGCTGTGTGCCAGGCCCTATAGACAAGAGATGAACAAGACCAGCATGGATCTTTGCCTCTGTGAAGCTTATTTATGGAGGTATCCAATTCAGAACTTGAG